GGAGCATCTGTACTGCCCTTCTCCCAGGCCTCTGACACCACCCTGGGGTGCTCTTGGGAGGCCTCCTAAGACACTGCTACATTGGACTTCTCCAGGCTGGGTCCTTCTTATTCCCTGGGTGACAATGGCTTTGAAACCCACCTTCAAGTCAAGGCCACAGTCAGATCTTACACCTGACCTCTTCATACAGAAATTCCATTTCCTCCTGACTTCTCTGTTGTCCTCTATCAAAACCAGATCCTTCTTTCAAACACACAAACTCACTCCTTGTATTTCCAGTCTCGGGAGTGATTTTCCACACCTCACTGCCTGATACCTTCGCTCCTCCATTCAGAGCACCAGCAAGTCCCACTAGCTGCTGTCCACTATCTAGTGAATATGTCCCAGCCCAAGCACCGCCCTCTCCCACTGGGTACCTCCCATCCCTTTTCTATCTGCACAGTGGCCACCGTTGTCTCCCCGGAACTCGAATTCCATCAGCCAACCGCAGCTTAGAAACCTTTGCTAGCTTACTATGCCTTTAATAAAGCCTAGGGATACTGGGCCTGCCTGTATCCCTCACTTAATGCCTATATCCTCACTCTGCAACTCTAGTCACAGGCACCACTTGGTTCTTCAGAGAAACCAGGTTCTTTCCTGCCCTATAACCTTTGCACATGGTATTCTCAACAAGTGGAGTGTTCTCTCCATCGTGTTCTCCACACACATGACTTTCTCCCATCTTTCAGACTCAACCGGCTATCTTACTTAGAGCCCTCCCCTCTGCTGGCCTCAGACAGCCAACTTGGCTGTCTTCTTCATAGCGGTCATCTCGTAAACGTTCGTTTTCTTGTTTCCTTGCTTGTGATCCCTTTTGAAGACTGGGACCCAGCATCCACCACAGGCACATATGGGCCAAGAGCTCACTCAGAATGTTTTTATAGGTGAAAAGAAGAAGGAGAAAATAAATAGAAACAGAGGTGGAGAGACAGAAAACAGCGTGGGGGTGTGTGGAGAGATAAAGGGGAAGAGGAAAAGAGAGAGAACAAAGAAAAAGAGAATGAGAAACACAGAAATGGAATCTTAGTGGTGAGGATTAGGCAGGGAGGGCCATCACAGAGAAAGAAACAGAAGGGGTAGGGTCAGAAACAGAGATAAACTGAAAAGCAGAGAGCAAGAGGGACCCTAGGCCAACCCAAACCAGCCAGGAACTGGGGTGGGGATCTCAGATCCTTACCATTCCCGTTGGCCAGCTTGGCCAAGGTGACAATGACAAACTCATCAGTGAGGTTGAGGGGCTTGAGATGATGTTGCAGTTCATACATGACCAAGCTGAAGTGATTTCGGGACAGGGCTACCAGAGTCTCACTGGCCACCTCAGCTGTCTCAAAACCCTCCATCTGCAGGGGATAAGAGAGTCACCACTACCACCCTCCTAGGTTCAGTCCATTAGGTTCAGTCTGCATCAGTCCCATGAGACAGCTTGGGCCAGGCTTAGCTGCAGTCCAGCTCCTGGGCCTGCAGAAGGAAGGCATGGCAGAACCCAGGCCTCATTACCTCTGTGGTGTCTCTCATCTGCTTGGAGGCAATGGACACCAGCCTTTGTATGCAATGCTCCTCCATCTCTCCTTCCTGCTGGATGATCTCCTGCAGGATGTTGTAGATGTTCACCTTGCGCTGGGTAGAAATCTGGGAACAAGCATGGCAGGCAGCAGTAGGGGCAGAGCCTTTCCCTAGCACCACCAGCCACCTCCACTCCCTGCCTCTCCTCCCTTTTTCAGTCCACCTAGAAAAGGTAGCCACCATTCCCCAGCCATCATGTTGCAGATCTCCACTCCTCCATCTCCAGTCCTTTCCAATTCTGCCCACTCATCCAACACTCTTCGTTCCTAGGACTCGCAAATTATTTCTCTCAACTCAGTCAATATTCAGCTAGGTAGGGGTCATATGGTCAGCACACAATGTCTTTCACACACAAAATGCTGTCAAGCTTGAGAACCCGAGAGGCAGGCTCACCCTGCCCTTTTCCCTGGCTAAGGACTAAGACAGGAAACATCTTTCTTTCCCGCAACTTCTATGTGGATAGCACCAAATTAGGTGACCTGATTGGAAAGATGCCTTATGTGCTGAAGACCGTGTTTGGATAGTTAAATATGAGAATGATCCCTATTGTGTGCATGTAGGGGAAGAGTATATGTGCATATATGCATATGTGTGTGCAAGCATACGGAGACCAGAGGACAGCTTTAGGTGTTGTTCCTCAAATTCTGTTCACTCTGTCTGTCTGTCTGTCTGTCTGTCTGTCTGTCTGTCTGACAGTGTCTTCACTGGCCTGGAGCTTGCCATGTGGGCTGGACTGGCTCCTCCAACCAGACCCAGAGATCCTCCTGTCTCTACCTCCTGATTGCTGGGATTATAAAAGTATACCACTGTGCCCAACTTGTTAATGTGGGTTTTAAAGATTAAACTTAGACCTCTGTGTTTGTAAGGCAAGCACTTTACTGACTGAGCTGTCTTGCCAGCCTGATGATTCATATTCAATCAGGTATGACAAGCCACTCTTAAGGGATGAGGTGATTTTACATGCAGCTTCCTGAGTCTAGGCATTAAACTCCAAACACAGAGAAATGGTGAGATCATAGTAACTGCTCAGTAAGTACTTCATGACTCTAGACCAAGTCTTCAGCCTTTATAATTATTGTCATTGTCCCTTAAGTAGCCTTTTGAGACATTTTCCTAAGTGTCCCTGGCCGGTGAACCTTTGAAAACCAAGGTATGATGTATATGCAAATAAAGTGATGTATTTGCACTTTATACATAAAGAGCATGAAAAGGCTGGTAAATAATCATGTTTTCTTGCCTGTGCTTTCTGACGCTCTGAGATCTGGGGATTACTAATGCTATAGAGCCTGCCCTCCCAACAGTAGCCAGCTCCTAGAGATAGTGTGCCAGCTCCATGTGAATGCCTTTTGAGGTAGAAAGCTAAATCTGTTATAGACTGACTTGGATTCCCTCAAAATCTATATGTTGATATGACACCTCTAAGATGGATGGCTTTTGGAGAGGGGTTGGGAGGAAATTGTGATTAAATGAGATCAGAAGTGTGGGGCTCTAATCCAAATGAACTGATGTCTGTTTGGAGAAACTGGTGTTTCATGCCTGGTCTCTCTCCATAGGAAAAAAAGCATGAAGATGGTGTCAGGCAGCTGTCACCAGGCCAGGAAGAGCCTCAGTAGAGTTCTGATCTGTGGGCACCTTGGCTATGGCCTTCTGGGAGGAAATATATTTCTGGTGCTTCAGTCACACAAATCATGGTCCTCTATCATGACAACCTGAGCAGATTGCAACAGCAGCCAATTCAGAGACCAGTGTCCCCAGCCAGGTGACTCCCAAATCCTGCCACACCAGGCACAGAGATGCCTCCCAAACATGAAATCTCCTAGAGTTGCCTCTTTTGGTACTCACATCTGCATCTTGACCGCTAACACTGTGTCCATGGTGGTTGAAAAGGTATGCTGAGTGGTAGGTGGATTCCCAGGCATCTAAAGGTGTCTGGTCTAAGAAGAGGTGTGGAGGGGAGGGTGTCCTTACCTCTGGCACCTGCAGGCAGCGGATGAGAGCATTCATGACCACACAGGGATCCGTGGTAGCCTTCTCTGTGATTATCACTGAGGCCAAGGTCTTCCGCATGTCCAAGCCTGACCCCGTGGTGTCTGTCTTTGTTGATTCACTGTCCATGATGTTCAGGAGGTTGGTGACTTGGAAGAATGTACCTGATACAAAGATGATGTAGGTGTGACAATGAGTGGCCAAGAGGAACCAGTGCTATGGTAATGTGGTTGACTTCCTTACCATCATCAACTGGTTCTAGAGGTTCGGGATGCTCTGTCTCCTCCACACTGTCTTCATTCAACTCAGTGGCTGCTTCTTCCATGTCTCCTTGAGCTCCTTTAGGATGGATGAAATAAGTAAATACTCAGCATGGCAGTACTCCCTTAGATGACCTCCCAGGAGTTCACAGGCTTTTGGAAATTCTCCCTCCAGTGTGGGAGCACCTGTGGCTCCATTTGAACCAGTAGGATAAGACAAAGGGAATAGGATGTCCCATCTTGACTGGGCTACATTAGATGCAATGCTCGTAGGAAGCCCCTCCCTTGAATTGGTTGAGTTGTTGACAAAAAGCAATGTAGCTGTTGTGACCTCCAGGATCACATTATTCACATGGGACTCTTCTAAGACTAGAAAAAGACTTTCTGTCATTGTTGAAAGCAAAGAGCTATGATGCATGCTGCCTATGGAGGGACCATGTGGTATGAAACTGGGGTTACCAGTCCTACAAATAACTATAGGAACTGAATTCTGCCAACAATCCCACGCACTAGGAAGAGGCCCTTACACTCCAGAAAGGGAAGTAGCCCTGCCAACAACTTGGCTGCAACCTCTAAGATCATGAGCAGTGAACCCAGACAAGCTACACCCAGATTCCTGCCCACATGGAAACTAAGATACTCTTTTAATCCATTAAGGTAGTTACACTTTGTCACACAGCAATAGATTAATATGCTTGAAAAAGAAGAGGCCCTTCCTCTTCTCTAGATATTAAAAATTTGGGAGCACAGAACTCAGTCTGTCCACTAACTTCAAGGGCTGTTCAACAACCACAATTAAACGAGTGACAAGCCACCACTGATGTCCACATGGAGGACTAAAGCTCCCAGATCCTTCCTCCTCCAGCTCCAGTTCCTCAACCTTCAACCCAGAATAGCTCTTTAAACGATTCCCAGGACCTAAATACTGGTCTTGTCTTGAAGTCCTCTTCTGGGTAGAACAAAAAAGTTGACTGAGGAAACTCTCCGCTTGTTAATATGCACCAATGAAAATATGACCAGTGGCAGGACTCGCTGTCCACCGCAGAGCATCAGGCTCCTCCATGGTAATCCTCATGAGGAACAGGACTCCTGGCAGGACAGGAGGTTTCATCAGAACCATCACCGTTAGATCCCAGACCCTTAGAACGTTGAGATCCAACTGCCTCCCTGGGGCTCTGTCAACCAGAGCTTTGGGTACACTGGGCTGAAATCAAAGCTCCACATCAAGTTGCCACGAAACATTTCTGTACCCAGAAGAGTGCACTGGTGTATGGTGGCCTGTTTGAGAAAGGGAAGTCATTAGTGGGGGTTACAACTGAGTATTAAAGGAGTGTAGGTGGATCCAGTATAGAGAGGTTCAGTCAAGGAATCAGGAAGGGAGCAAAAAGGACGATGGTGTAACTGTGATTAAAGAACCCCTCTTTCATCATTAGGACTAGTCAACATTAGATGAGGAGGTGTGTTCTCGTGCCTGGACCACAGACCGGGTGAGGACCTGCATTCTCATGGCTGAACCATGGGCCAGGTGAGGAGGTGTGTTCTTCCTGGAAGAATCTCAAAAGATAAGGTACCTCAAAGACCAAGAAGAATAAGTATTTTTCTCTAAACCAAGTGAACCTCAAAATATCTCCCTGTCACCTGTAGCTAAGAGAGCTTGTCAAGATCAGTGGTTTGTACAATGAAAAGCCTTGGTTTGGGGGACACTCTTCATGCATTTCAGGTCAACAGAAAAAGACTCAGAGTCATATTGACTCAAGGTTCCTTAATTACAATTCCAGTTTGAGTCTTCCCATATTGTCAAGTGGGAGTTTGTACTGGTTATATGGTTATGTTGTATTGTTCTGTTTTGTTTTTTGTTAGTTTGATACAAGCTAGGGCCATCGGAAAAATGGGAACCTCGGTTGAGAAAATACTTAAACAAGTCTGTGGGACATTATCTTTTTTAAATTTATGTGTATGGGTGTTTTGCCTGCATATTATATCTATGCAATATATGAGAGCCTGGTACCCACTGAGCTCAGAAGAGGGCATCAGATCACCTGGAACTAGAGTTATAGATGGCTGTGAGCCATCATGTAGATGCTGAGAATTGAACCCAGGTCCACTGTGCAAGCAGCAAGTGCTCTTAACGTTCGAGTCATCTCTCCAGCACTGGGAAATTTTCTTGATTAATGATTATGTTAGAGGGCTTAGCTCACTGTGGGCAATGCCACCCCCATAAAAGTGTTCCTGGGTTCTCTAACAAAGCAGACTGAGAAAGCCATGAGAGCAAGCCAGTAAGCAGCCCTCCTCTGTGACCTCTGCTTTAGTTCCTGTCTCTGGGCTCCTTTGTTGGCTTCCCTTAACTGACTGTGATCAAGATGTATAAGCAAAATAAACACTTTTCTCCCCAAGTAGCTTTTGTTCAAGGTGCTTATCACGAACACTAGAAAGCAAACCAGGAGAATGCTCCTATACCTCTACTTGCTAACTTCTAACATCAGGGAAAACATGACTCCTCATACCATTCCAAGTCTACTCCACAGAATTTAGGGGGTTAAAGAATGAATTCTAGTCTGGAGAGCTGGCTCAGTGAATGGTAGTGTTTGCTGCATAAGAATAAGGGCCTTAGTTTGGATCCCCAGCACCCATATAAAAAGTCAGGCATGACTGTGTGTGTGTGTGTGTGTGTGTGTGTGTGTGTGTGTGTGTGTGTGTGTGTAATTTCAGCATTGTGGGGATGGAGATGGATGACTCCTGGGATCTTGGTGTCTTGGTGGCTGGCCAGTCTAGCTAAAACAGGAAGTTTCAGCTTCAGTGTGAGAATCTGCCTCAAGGTAAAAAGTGACAGAGCAGGATATCCAATGTGCTCTTTTGGCCTGCTCACACATGTGCACAGGCCTAAACACCTGGTCACATATGTATACACACACACACACACACACACACACACACACAACTTAGAATGAATTCCCTGCACTTCACACCAGAGACATCTTTCCCATAAAATCCCTGCATTGTTCCTCATTCTGGTGTTTGAAGATACATTAGTCAACAAAAAACAAACTTAAAGACAGTTTTTCACTGTTGTAATTTAAGAAAAGCAGCACGTGAAAGAAAGATGCCATGCTACAGGTTTCAAGCAAAGGTTTTTTTTTTTTTTTTTTTTTCCGAGACAGGGTTTCTCTGTATTATTTTGGAGGCTGTCCTGGAACTTGCTAGGTAGACCAGGCTTGGTCTCGAACTCACAGAGATCCACCTGCCTCTGCCTCCCGAGTGCTGGGATTAAAGGCGTGCGCCACCACCACCCGGCTTGGGTTTGTTTTTGTTTTTGTTTTTTTAATTAGGAAAAGGGATCATAAAAATGGGGAAAGGGAAGGGGGAGATTGGCTTCTGGAGACAGGGGCAGCAGGAGAGATAAGCAAGGGGGGGCAAAGGGGGGAGAGAAAGAAAGGGAAACAGAGGGAGAGAAAGAGAGGAGGATGGGAGGTGGGCAGGGCCCTTTTAAAAGGGAACATAGTGAATGTGTACAGGTGGTGCTCTTAGTGGCTTCAGCTGAGGGCGTGTCCTGTCAGAACCCCAAGGACAGGCCTACAGATGCCTGAGTGCTAACACTCACTACCTTCTCCACCTCCCCATTGGGACTTCTCATCACCTCCAGTAGTTATGGAGTGTTCACCAAAGAGGACTGCTCAGACGTGGGTTTAACCAACAGAAAGTCTTTATTAGCAGCTAGACTGGGTGCGTGGGATCTCACAGTAGCACTGAGCCTTTCTCAGAGTGAGATTTTAAGCACACACACACACACACACACACACACACACACACACACACACACACGAATTCTGGATTGACACACTTCAGTTAACAAGCACAGTTAGCCAGAAGTGGAACTACAGAATCAAAGCAGCAAGTTTGGTGTATTTTGACACTTCCCCAGAACTACATGGACTTCAATGGATTAGGCCTTTTGCTTTAGTGTGGCTGTATTTTTATGTGCTGAGTTTAATAGCCTGAATGGTACTTCCATCACGGATACAGTTGTGCTAAGGTCTAAGGCCCTGTTACATTCCCCACTGGTCTCAGTGTACGAGCCAAATCAAGGACTCATTCTGTTTTACTTTAAGATGCAGAGCCATGCTGTTAATCCAATCAGAATGAGAATTAAAGGCCCAGCTGGTGCTGACAGCAGAGTAGTTGTCCAGGAGGACCAAGAGAACAGAGACTGCTACTAATTATTTCCCCAACCATAACAAGATTTTCTCTAATTACTCCTGATCAACTAGCATAGAAACAACAGAGTTTTTTCCCCCAAAGCCATAGTTTTCTTTATCTCATGAGAAATCTAAGCCTCTCCATTGTTGTAGGACCATTTTCCACAAGGGAATCTATCTGTTGTTTTAATTTAGAAACTGGAACATTTAATACCTCTTAGTCCTGATCAACCTATCTACTTAGTTTGGAAAGTATACGAAGAGGCACATTTAGTTAAACCATTAGTATATGCCCAACAAGTAGTCTCAGAGTCCTAGTGATATTATTGTCAGCCATATGAATTAACTCATAAGGAAGACTATCAGGCATCAAAACAAGGGGAAGTGCCCAGGTTAAAGTTTTGGGGCATTAGACAAGTTTTAACCTTTCACAAATCTTCTAATGTTAATTTGGGCTACCCCCAGTCACTCTGAGCTTTGTCAGTCAATGGACTGACAGTCTACTTAGTTCCTATCCCTATGTAGTACAGGGACCAGGTGTCTAAGGATAACCAGCCATCCTGGCTGATTTCTGCCAGCGAAGGATTAACTCTATCTCCAGGGTCCCTTCCTTTGGCAGGAAGTCTGATTCCCCAGGTTTTTCTTGTTTCTCAAAGGCCAGGATATTTTAAAAGGAATTTTTCAGGAAGCCTCAATTTTATAACCCCAATTCTTGCAATGGGAACTCCCTTGTTCCCTGGCAACCAAGGGGCCCAGCCATAGGGCATGTATAGAATTATAAACTCTGTATTCCTATCTCAAAAGACAAATTCCCCTATCTTTTCTTTTCTCCATATAACCAGACACTTAAAGTAGGTATCAGCAAGTATAGATCAATATGAGTTGCTGGTCTGTAGACACATTAGTTAATACCTTTCCTATATTTGTCTTCCTCAGTTCCCAGGTCCAGGCCTGAGAATTGGATATTGGACCATAACCCTCTATTCATAGCAAACACAAGCCTCAGGAGGAGGAGGTAGAAGGACAGGGAGTGGAAGGGTCCTGGGCCTGATGAAACCTTCATTTCAATGGGTCTGTAGTTCAGAGATAGTTGGCAGCAGCACCTGTGGCTTTCTCTTTCTTGACCTGGGTGAGGTGGATTCATGGTATAATGCCAGTTGTCTTCATTACCATAGGAATGGGGAGAATTGCCATGTGGAATCCTTTCCAAGTTGGTTTCAGTGCCCCTTTGGCTACCTGCCTGACCCAGAAAGTATCACTGAAATGGAACAAGGGAGAAACTGGTAATGGACTCAGAGGTTGGCTGGGTCTCTGGAATAGTCCAACGAATAGCCTGTATGGAGAACTGAAGTGCCTGTGGAGACTTGAGAAATAACTGGTTAGAATTCTGCCAACTGCTGGTCTCAGTCTAGGATGTAGTGAGGAAGGCCTTCTGACTATAATCTTATAGGGGCAAATCCCTCCCTATAGGGCCTGGAGCAAAGTGACAGAGGTCTATCTATCCTTTAGTAGACTCTAATGAGAGTTTTATTAGAGTTTTTTTAATGTCCTGTTTATTCTTTTTACCTGTCCATAACTCTGAGATCTATATGTACAATGAAGTTTTTAATCTATGTCTAAAGCTTTTGCTATTAGTTAGGAGGTTTTGGCTATGAAAGCCAGGCCATTGTTGTACCCTATTGCTAGGGGGAGGCTAAATCAGATGCCCAGTTCCTGGAGGAGCTTTTTAGCTACTGTTTGGACGGTTTTAGTTCAGGTGGGAAACACCTCTACTCACCAGGACAAGGAATCTAGCAAGTACTTTTATCCTCCCCCAGCAGGTTGGATCTTGGTGGAGTCAGTTTTTCCAGAGTTCACTGGGGTGTTGTTTTCTCATTTGGACTCCTTCCTGGGTAAGTGCCCTCTGTTTTGGATTCCCTTGAGCACAAACCTGGTATCTGGCTGAGACATCCCATGTCATACTGTCCAGTCTAGGTATAACACACTTTGGCCTGAGCAACTCAGAAATTTTTGTGGACCCAGCTGAGTAGCCTGGTGAGGGTTGGTTACCAACATCCCTGCCAGTTGTTTCTGGGAGAATGATCTTTCCCATTGGTGTCCTCAATCAACTTGTGGATTTGAGCAGTCTGTTTCTTCCTTACCATGGAATCCCAGGCAATATCAGGTCATATGTCATCAGAAAATCAATAGGCCCCACTGACCTTAGGGCCATTTGTCAATGGCCAGGTCAGCAGCCCAGCAGTGGAGGCCAGCAATTTATAAGGAAGTCTAATAGCAGCCACTAGGAAGGTCAAGTTTTTTAATGTCCTTTTTGACAGCAGTGAGAAGCCTTGTTGCTCTATAGATCATGTTGTGGACATGCTCAGTATTAAAAGGATACTGACTGATGGTCTGTATATATGGTGTTGGACTTTCCTTTTCCCCCACGTGTCTTAGCTAGGGTTTCTACTGCTGTGAATAGACACCATGATCATGGAAACTTATAAAAGGAAACATTCCATTGAGGTGTCTTACATTTCAGAGGTTTAGTCCATTATCATCATGGTGCGACATAGTAGCATGCAGGCAGAAATGGTGCTGGAGAAGAAGCCAATTACATTTTGAGCTGCAGGCAATAGGAAGTGGTCTGAACACTGGGTGTGACTTGAGCACATATGAGCCTTCAAAGCCCACCCCCATAGTGACATACTTACTCCAACAAGGCCAAATCTACTCCAACAAAGCCACACCTCCTAACAGTGCCACTCCCTATGAACTTATAGGGGAACAACCACATTCAAACTACCACACCCTCTGAGAGCCTGGGTCAGATGAATCAGTTTTGCTCTATGGACTGAGACACTTGGCTTGGGCCCAAATCATTTAGGTTAAAGTAACCACTGTAGCTGCAGCTCTCAGTTATATGGTTTCATCTTTCATCTCCTGACAGTCATGAGCAAGCACATGTGTCAGCAGGCAAGAGGGTAGCTGAACTGATGGTGGTAGGTTTCTCAAACAAGACTTGAGGGTGGACCAGGAATAGGGTCTGGTGCTCAGTCACACAGTCATTAGACAGCAAACATTCTGGTGTTCCTCAGAGGAGGGCCTGAGTGTGTTATGGGGTGTTGTGAATATACGACCTTGACCTAACCTAAAGTTAACTTGCTTGTTTTCTTTCATTAAACTAGCAATTGCCACCATAGCTCTTAGAGAGGTGAGCTATCCTGTGGTTACAGGATCTGTCTTATTAGTGTTTCTATTGCTGCAAAAGAAATACCATGACCATAAAGCAAGTTGGAGAGGAAAGGGTTTATTTGGCTTATACTTCCATATTGCTGTTCATTATTGAATGAAGTCAGGACAGAAAGTCAAACTGGGCCAAATTCTGGAAGCAGGAGCTGATACAAAGGACATGGAGGGTGCTGCTCACTGGCTTGCTTCCCATGGCTTGCTCAGCCTGCTTTCTTATAGAACCCAGAACCATCAGCCCAAGGATGGTACCACCCATTGATCACTAATTGAGAAAAGGCCTTACAGTTGGATCTCATGGAGGTATTTCCTCAACTGAGGCTTGTTTCATTTTGATGACTCTAGCTTATTTCAAATTGACAAACAAAACCAGCCAGAACAGGGTCCAATTATCACAGGGCATTTTCACGGCCCCAAAGTTTTGGTTAAAACCCCATTTGTTTGGAAATTCTAGGGCTTGAGTAGAAGTCAGCTGTTTTTAAAGCCTCAAATGCCATTTGTTTAGTCTCAGTCCAGATGAGGAGTTCAGGACCCTCCTTTTTGCTGATGTGTAGAGGCCTTGCTATTTCCACAAACTCTGGAATCCAGAGGCAGCAATTTCCAGCTGCATCTAGGAACTCTTGAGCCTGTCTCTTAGTTCTTGCAATTGGAATCAGAAGGATGGCAGCAATCCTACTCCAAGACAGGCTCCTTTTGTCTCCCTTCAACTGGTAGCCAGGATAGGTAGCCTTCTACAAAGTTGGGCTTTCTTAGCTGACATTTTGTAGCCCAAGGCCTGAAACTCCTGCAGCAGTCCTTCTGTGGCCCCTTTATAGTCTGTTTTCCCATGAAACCTCTGACAGAAGGGCAGGAAGTCTGCATTTAGTGTCTTTAAACCCTGAGGCAGCCTGATGCAGGTATGTCGCCCACAGGAACACCCCACTGGGTCTGTTCATTTTAAAGCAAATATGGGTTGACTCATCTCTGCCAATGGGAGACTGAAGAGCACACCTTTAAAGTCTAAGATATCATGTACCTACTTCTTTGGAAGAATCAAACTCATGAGAACCAGATGTCCCAGGTTTCTTCATAGGTAGGAGAGGTGTACTCCAGGGTGACTGGCAGGGCGCCAGGATGCCTGTCTCTTCAAGCAAGGTAATACAGACTGCAATCTCCCCTTTTGTTTCAAGGATCATTGTGTATTGTTTAATCTGAACAGAGCATAGCTGAGCTGATTAGTTGAACAATTATAGGAGTTTGGTGTTGGTCCAGTCCTAGGAGGTTGGTTTCTCCTAACAGAGGATGAGACACCAAGATTTTGCTGGGTATCTGTAAGTCTAACTACTTCTCATCATCAGAGAAGGTGACAGTGGCTTTCAGTTTATGCAAAAAGTCCTGTCACAATTAGTTCTGCTTAAGATACTTGAACCTGCTTATACCTTTAATTTTTTTTTAACTTTTAGAATTTTTTCCTAATATCTCGGGGCAACTAGGTAACAAAGGAAATATTTTTAGCCATTGTGTTTAATCTTTCTAAAAAGTACCTAGTGAAATTGTTTGGTCTCCTTGGTCAGTGTTGAATAGAAGGGACAATTTGTTCTGTCCAAGCTGGTTGTCTGGCAGCAATCCCCCTGAATAGCCAAGAGGTGGTTTGGGGGGTTTTGTTTGCTTGTTTTTCTTCAGAGAATGGTGGTTTTTATGGATCACTGGTTGAAAATGAGACATAAATTATAAAAGGGAAAGGAAGGGGTGAGGGTCCTGGATGACAGGCCAGCCTCACCCCACTTCTACACAGTGGCCAACCCTGACTGAGCAGGAGTCAAGCAATAAAACAAGCGAGCACTGCTGTCCCTGGAGTGGGACAGATGGATGGTTTTTTTGTGTGACGCCTGCGCCACGAGCAAGTCTAATGTATCAGGAGAAAGCCTGGAGATTTAAATGAAAGACAAGATGTCCAGTCGTTTGTGCAGAGAGAGAGAGAGAGAGAGAGAGAGAGAGAGAGAGAGAGAGAGAGAGAGAGAGAGAGAGAAAGCCTTACATATAGACTTACAACACAGTGGAAAAACCCCAGGTGTAAGAGTTTGTGTTTTCATAATTAGAGGTTGATGCCAGTGGGGCAAGGCCGGGGCTGTAAGCCAGGACCAGAAAACAGGATGCCCCTGTGGCTATAGGCTGACAAGCAACTCACAGAAACCTGATGGGGGCTGGGGCCCAACATTTTTGTGTTTTGGTTTTTCTTTCTTTTTTGTTTTGTTTTGTTTTGTTTTGTTTCTCTGGGTGATCTGGCAGACCCAAAAGGATTCTGATTCCCCAATAGGATGTGGCACAGGACTTAAGCCAGGGGTTCTCACTCCAGAGAAAGCCACTTGTCAATACAGGGAAACAGAACTGACAGAAACACATAGAGATACACACACACACACATACACACAGTAAAGACAACTAGGGATGGCCACCACACATTCATACACCTGCACAGAAGGATCCACTGGTGTCTCGTGTGGGTTCTGGACACTGGATTAGCAGCCATGCCTGACCTTTCCTAGATGTCCAAACAGAAGGCACCTCAACCAAACTTACTTCAGAGGTGGCAGATCAGTCAACTTTATAATTTGTTTCCTCCTGGAGTGGAGGTGTCAGACCCATCTGAAGCATCAGGCAACAATTAGGTAGCCTTTGGGACCTGGAATATCCAGTTTTTGCATATCCTAGGACCCAGTGTCTAAAGGTTGGGTCTCTGGGACCTTGCTGGGGCCTCCATAAATGTTGTGGGGGTATTCAGAGAAAACTGTTCAGACATGGCTTTGAGGCAATAGAAAGTCTTTATTAGCCAGCCAGAAACTACACTGGGTGTTTGGGATCCCAGCGTAGCCCTGAGCCTTTCTCAGAGTGAGCTGTTAAGCACAAAAACCATGTTCTGGGTTGATATACTTCAGTTAACAAAAAATTAGCCAAAAGCAAAACTACTTACACCAAAATGCAAGGTTAGTACATTTTGAGACTTTCCCAGAATTATATGGACACTTTGATGGATTAGACCTTTGTTTTAGTTTTGGCAGATGATGCTGTGTATGTGCTGAGTTTTACAGCTTGAATGGTACTTCCATTATGGAGTCTGGGAGCTTACTAAGATGTGGGGTCCTATTACACAGTGATCTCTCAAGTCACATGTTTCAGGTAAAAAACTTCCATGTATATTGACTACATACCTATCAGATTCAGCTAAGCATATTTTGGATACAGGATAAAACATGTCTTTGCCTTCTGGGACATTCAGATACTATACACAAATGCTTACTGGATTAGAACCAGAAGTAATTGTGTTTAGCAATTGTTGTATAACTAACATTCTCAAAATGTAATGTCTGAAACATCAAATTATTGCTGTCTACAAGTTGGGTCCTGTCTATCTAACTGGAGTCACTCATGTTAAGGGCTTGCTGTTGGCTGAGAAGATGCAGGTGTTGAGACACCATGCAGCAGAGTTCACTCAGGCAGTTCTCACGGCAATGCAGCAGGATCCAAGAGAATGGGAACAAATGAGGGGTTCTGATGGCTCAACTTGGAACCAGCACCAATTTCTTTTATCAGTTGAGGCAAGTCAGGACTCCAAGGACAAATGTGTGCCTCACCTTGAGGGGAAGAGTTTCAAAGTCACACTGAAAGGATGGAACTATCAGGAGGGTAGAGATAGGGGCCATGTTTTAAAATGACACACAGCATAAATGAGCAAAGTATGACAAGAAGCAAAACGCCAACGCTGGAGAGATTGCTCAGTGGTAAAAGCACTTATTTCGTTTCTAGAGGACCTGGGTTTGATTCTCAGTCCCATATGACAACTCACGACCAGCTGAACTCCTGTTCCAGGGGAGCTGATGCCCTCTTCTGACTGCCACAGGCATCTACATACACACATGCACATACATGCATGCTGGTACTCACACACATAAAACATTTTTAAAAAGCAAAATGCCCTTAGTCTATAAAAGACACTATGACAATGAGGTTGGTGAGGAATTAGTGGGATATGTTGGTTTTCCAAGTGAAAACTTTTCTTTTCAGATTATGATGATGTTAGATTTACATGCAATCCATTCTTTTGTGTTGTTACTCCATTACGTTTTCTACTTTTTGTTTCTTTGGGTGCTAACTAGGAACTAAGAAATGAACCTAAATGTATAGGTTTTACAAATCTCATCTTTATCAGTTAATTGTTTCCTGTGTTTCCTTATAGTAACATGAAGATAACAGAAGTAAAACTGGTACCAGGAGTGAACTCATTACTCTCCAAAGGTTGGATGAATTGTTAGAATTGCCTAACAGGAAAATTTGGAAGAAAGTGCTAAAGAAGGCTTACAATGCTGTAAGATGAGCATTATGGATAATTTTTGGGAAGAATCAGAAGAATTTGGTTACACTCTGTGAACTTTGGAACTTTGATGAAAGCTGACCTTAGAGACGATGGGCTAATCAGTTCTTATGTTGATCCATCTGGAGTTCAATTTTGTGCAGGGTGGGCTATAACGATCTAGTTTCATTATGCTATAGTAGGTATCCAGTTTGACCACCATCATTTGTAGAAAGGTTCTGACTTTTCTCCCATGTATATTGTTGGCGTATGGACTTATTTCTGCATCCTCACTTCTGTTCCATTGGTTAATATGTCTGTTTTAATGCCAGTACCACATTGCTCTTATTACTATAGCTCTGGCCAAGAACATGAAATCTACAAGGGTGGTAATTCCCACAGTGTTTTTATTGGTCAAGATAGTTTTGACTATCCTGGGTCTTTGGATTTCCATATAAAATTTGATTAGTTTTTCAATGTGTGTAAAGATAGGAATTTTGATGCATTACAATGAATCTGTAGATGCCTTTAGTGAAATGACTATTTTCTCATTATTAATCCCACCAATCCACGAACATGAGATGTCTTTCCATGTTCTGGTATCTTCTTCTGTTTCTCTTCAGCGTATTAAGTGCTCATCCTTGGTTAGATTAATTCCAAGATATTTTTGAGACTAAGATTGTAAGAGTCAGAGGTGATGGATGACTAAAAAAATAAACAGTTTCCTAGACACAGCATGTCAGTTTCACATCTGAATTCAAATAAGTTAAGATAGCATCTTGAGACTTGTGCAAGCTCAAGCCAGACAAAATCCCACCGTGAAAAAGGGAGGTGAACATGAACTCCCAGCCCTAGCTGAGAAGTTATTGGCTATTGATAAGAATCAAAGAGCAAGAATCAGTTTTCCTTAAGGGTGTGACCTCTGGAGGGCTGGCTACACTCCAGGGTATATGTGTATACACAAAGTTAAGTAGGTAGGGAAGGGCGTTGAGCCTGGGAGGAGTAGGAGAAGGGAGTGAATATGATTTTTTAAAACTGTAATAAATTCTTTAAAAATAACAAGAAAAAATAATGCTTATTCTTTGTGGAGATCTCAAAATATTTGCTGGGTTTGTTCATGTATATGCTCCCTCACCAAACTGAGCCAATGCAGGATCACCTTTGAACTTCTAAGCCTGGAAGCTAAACAACGTTTTTCTCTTAAGTTACTTGCCTTGGGCATTTCATTATATCATTGCAAAACTGACCAGTGTAGAATGTTATAAAATCTTTAGACTTATCTAGTGTATCTGCAATGTTTTATGTGTATTTGTTAAAATAACAGTCATGTTGATAAGCTTTGTACATAACAAATACCTAAGATGTACCATCTCATAAGCAGAGGTTTATTTTGGGCTAGCTATAGACATGTGGCCATGTGGCCATGTGGCCATGTGGCCATGTGGCCATGTGGCCATGTGGCCATGTTGCTCTGGGACCTGTGTAAGACAGGAGAACACTCAGGGAGAATGTTTCAGGAGCTTCCTATTTCATGATAGCAAGGGAAAAAAGAGAGAGGAAGGTGCCTGCATGCCAAAAACCCCTCCAAAGGAACACGCCCAGAGACCTAACTTCCTCCCATGGACCCATCTCTTAATGGTTCCACAATTTCTCAGTGGTGCTACAGGCCTAGGACCAAGCCATCAACAAGTACAACTCCGGAAGATTCAGAATCAAAACTATGGCAGAAATGATGTTTTTATTTAACTATTCTTTATCAACAAAAACTCGGGAGTCAGATATCAGGGTAAGAAGCTGAATGATCACAGAGGTGGTGGTGAAGTGGCCAGTAAGCTCCTATCTCTTTCACTCCTCTATCTAAAAGGGGCTGAGATCCTCTCTAAGCCCTGCCTTACTACTTCCTGTGTCTATCTATTCTCAGTCCTCCAAAATCTCTATGGTTAATTTTGGTCAGCTAGTAGCTAGCTCTGCCCTCTGATTCAAAACAAACTTTATTGTCATTCTTGGGAGTGTCAGAGTGTAATCAAAATGTCACACGACAAAGCAACAGTGGTGCATGTGCACTGACTGCATTAATGAGCAGTGTAATTACAGGTGACCTTCTCTTGTGTGAATCTCTTCTAGCTTTCAAGGATATACTTTGACAACAAATAAATATAACACCAAACAAAGGAAGAAATAATAAAGACAATTTATATGAATTTATTAGCAAGTTCTTGGTTTGGGAAACACTACAGAAGATGTTCTTGCCAAAGAATATATTGGTTTTCATCAAATTCAGACCTGCTTCACACAAGCAATGATGTCATCTCAAACACAGTACCATCAGTTTCATAGCATCGTCCATCCCCCAAAGCTACAACACACCTCAGCAAAGTGAGGAGTGACAAGCACTGGAGAAGGCCATAATAGTCTGACAGTCCAGGTGAGAGATCTACCAGCTGAAGGGGGGGCAGGCACAACTGTGGGGCTGTCACTGAATACAGAGTACCCAACTTTCTGTAAGTTACTAACAGATGGCGAGTGTTGTCCATACCTTCCCTGTTGGGTGTGGCTAGCAATTAGACTGTTTTTACTTTTTAAAAATGTTCTAGGTATGTAATGTATGGCTAATTATTTCCCTAATAAAAGCAAAATAATTTAACACTGATTCTGTTTTCAAGTTTCAAACTGATTGGAGAATGGACCGATACCTCCCCTTCACTTCCCACCCACATCTCAATGGGTCTTGGATTTGTGTGATTTCTTAACTCGCCCCTTTTTCCCAAAGCATTTCCGGAAGCCATAGGCACAGCATTTAAATACAATAAAGACCACTGTCAACACGATGGCCAGGAGGAAGCCAATCACATCCAAGGAGTGATACTGGTACCAGGTGAGGTCATGGGCGGCCGGACGGAGATGTGGCGCCCCCTTGTGCCTCATCACGTACTCCACCCAGAACACAGCCAGGTCCAGAGGCTCTATAGGACGGTCCTTGTGAAGTCTGGAGAGGCGCATGATGTTCTCCTTGTAGCTGAACACAAAACAGTTGTTAGTGCCTGGAACACCCATGTAGCACATAGCATGCCCTATGCTTGATCCCAGTTAGGAAGAGAAGCATGTTCCTATTACAGCCGGAAGAGCACACCCCCATACACACTTAATACTCTTTACCTCTAAAAAGGAGGAGGAGAGACAGATGGTAAAATGAAGTGGGGAAGAGGGTAAGGAGGAAGGAAAGCAAAAAAAAAAAAGTTATTTTATGAATATTTAACTTTGTTTCCTATTTTTCGTCTTCTAGTTATTTCTTTGTAGGAAATTACATTATACTGTCTTTATAGTAAAATGAAGTTGAAAAAAGAATCAATTGCCAACGAAAGAATAGTGTGGTTTGAACGTGTTGCCCACAAGCTCATGTGTGGGAACTTTGATCCTCGGTACAAAGGTACAGAGAGGTGGTGGAACCTGAGGAAGTGATAAGTCATTGAGAGAGATGATGGCCTTTGACCCAGAGCTGGAACTTGTCACTGTGAGAGCAGGCTGTGATCAAGCAAGGATGTCACTTGTGTTTTGTCTCTTGCAACTCCAGGTTTCTACCATGTGAGGATGTAGCACGGGACCCTTATTACATGCAGCTTCCCAACAACTTCTAGAACTGTGAGCCAAATAAACTTTAACCCTTCATAAATCAGGTAATTCTGGGTATTCTGTTATTGCAACAGAAAACAGACTAGGGCAATATGCCTAAAACTCTTTTACATGCACATTCTCGTAAGCATGCACACACACTGTTGTTAGATCAAATCTACCACTGGCCATCATTTTTTCTTATATAATTTTGTGGTATTGATTGTAAGATTTAATTTTATTTTTAATTGTGTTAATACATCTGTCTGTGAGTATACATGAGTGCAGTGCCCATGGAGGCCACAAAGAGGCACTGGATTCCCCCCAGAGCTGGGAAACAAATTCAGGTCCTCTAGAAGAGCAGCAAGTGCTCTTAACTGCTGCACCATTGCTCCACCCGCAACCTTCCCACCCCCCTTCCTTTTAAATTGTGGTCTGGGGTTTTTGTTATTGTTTGGTTGTGTTTGGGTGGTTGCTTTTGTTTTAAGACAGACTCTTGCTAGGCAGCCCCTGCTGGCCTGGAATTGGCTACATAGTCTCGAGTTCTTCCTGAACTTGTCCCAATCCTCCTGTCTCTGTCTCCAAAGTGTTTAGATTACAAGTGTCTATCACCATGCTGGTCTTCCCATAGGTTTTAAATAAAACAATTATAGTAACCTTGAAAGCAATATACTAAATTTCAAGTAGAGACAAAGTGATCACACTGTGTGTGTGTGTCCATGTTTATGCAGTCACTCATAGGCCATAAGACAATGTTCTGCTCTGTCAGTGTCCTCTTTATTTCTTGGAGACAAAGTCCTTCAATGAATCTGGAGCTAGGCTGGTGGCCAGCAAGCCCCAACAGTTGTCCTGTCTCTCCCTTCCACGACGCCGAGGCCTGGCGTTTCACCTGAGTGCTGAGATTTAAATTCATTCCTCAGGCTTGCACAGCAAGTGCTCTTATCTATGAAGCTATCTCTCCAGCACCGCCCTATGCATCTTTTAATGGAATGTTTATCTCTTCACAGGATCGTAGAGACAAGATGCCTATTATGATGACATTATTTTTAGTTGAAGATTTTAAACCTAGGGAAATTTTAAAAATTTAACAAATTCTATGATGAAATAAAAAGTCCTTTTACAAGTAGGACTAATCCCCACATTATCTCGTGTATAATCTAGATTTTTATGTATTTGTTGTTGTGATATTGTGTTAATTGCAAATGCTGTAGACATGAATACAAGTAGTTTGTTTCCTCTTATCCTTTCTGTTACTTACCTCTTGTCATTGATGACCTTTTTAAGGGCATTTTCCAAATCATCAACAGTCATTTCAAGGACATTCAGGGAGACTCCAGCTCCCCGAGTTTCCATGCGCTTGGCATTGTCCATCTGATCACCAAACAAGGGCATCATCACCATTGGGACTCCATTGCATATTCCTTCATAAATACCATGGGAACCAGAGTGTGTGATGAACGCCCGAGTCTTTGGATGACCTGAGAAGCACAACAGAGAGGGACATCCAGTTCTTCATCCTGACAATGTCTAGATTCTGAAAACCCCCAAGGATTGTTATCTATATATGACCATTGTAGAAACTCTGGGGTGGGGTGGAGGTGCGTTGATGTATGTGATGTGTATCAGCCACAGTCAAACTAAACAGTCATTTATAACATTAATGTCTGGCATTTTTGTAATTAAACCCCAGTTTGACCTACATGTCAGATGTTCCCAACCTACCAAGCAGATCATTTTGGGGTAGCCATTTTACAAGTATTGTATTCTTCGCAAGATTCGATGGTTTAGGTCCAGTGTAGCGCCACAGGACCTAGCAGGGACAAAGAGCACAAGGTTTAATAAAAGAACACAATGTGATTTTAAAAAATCTGCTATACTAGCTAGAAAGGCTAGTACTATGAGTAAGAAGACCACCCATAGGCTCTACATGATGGGAGGTTTGGTGAATGGGAAGTTCCCAGCGCTCAAGAGCAACATTATATCTTGATGCTAAAGTTTGGCAACATTGAGTGTTAAAAACTATCAAGCCAAACTCAGGATTCCTTCATTTTTCTGTACTTCAAAGGGAAACTTTCTTAACAAAGCAAGTGGAAGGAAAACTATCCAAGAAGAAACAAGCAAATCAAAATAGTTCTTTGGAGAAACATTCTTCATTAATATGAAAAAAACCAATAACATGCTTATCTTTTAACCAAATTCTCCCCAATACTTTGGGGTTTCCTAGAGCAAATGAAAAAAATCTGAGTGAGGCAGACCATGGTGTAGAAGTGCCTGAATGAATTGCTAAATAATAACATAAAGTAATAATAATAACGATAATGGTACTAACTTTGTGGAATGGCAGAGGAGTTCCACACCCCAAATTTCTACATTTAGACCCTGAAGTCTAGAGTTAGAGCTCTCATGAAAACAGATATGATGGAGTTGTGCAGAATCATCTTACCGTTTGAGGAATTCTGCCCAAAGCCTCAGCGATTTCCATGGCTTTCTTCTCCGGAATCTCTGAGACCATGGATCCCAAAGAGAAAATCACGATGCCATGCTCCCCAGAGGCATTGACATAGGCTTCAAATTCCTAGAGCGGAAAAAGGCATTTTAAATTCATCTCTTGTTTCTCACATCCTATGGGAACTACACACATTAGATTACAAGTTAGATACTCTCCTCTTATGGAAATCAGTAAAGTTTTGCAAGTAATAGACAAAAAACATTATGGCAAATCCGTCTCCTTGTCCCCTGTCAATTCAGGAGGGTTTCTTGCTTGTGGGGTTATCTGTAGGGTTCCCTGGAGGTGCAGATCCAGGTAATGTGCTGATTTCCCATAAGAGAAGCAGAGGCACATACATGAGTGTCCATACACATAAATGTGCACCCATGAACATGACACGCGTCTATATACACGTGCCTACCTGTGGCCCTATGCAGGAAACAGACAGTTCTCTCCTACTGTACATAATTAATAAGCTAACTAACCACCAAGAGTCTCTCAAGTGGATTAATGTGTTTCCAAAGTATGTGATGGCATGATGTGACAGGTTACCCACAGCTGAGGGCTGCCTGGAACACAATACTTTTATTACTAAAACCCAAATATTCATGGGCAAACCATGTCCTGACTCTCCCTACATGTAGATACAGAGAGGCTTCTACTAAACTCTATCCTGAACATATCAGGATCCCATATCCTGGGCAGTCTTCAAAGAGGCACACCACACTCCTCCACTCAGAGGCCCACCCAACCCTGCAGTTCCCCAGATCGTCACGATCATCAGAGCATTGGTATCTTGGTCTCCCTCACTGGGCCCATCTAAAGACCTGGCTCTTCTGTCACTGCCCAGATTTGATCAAGAGCATCCTGGAGTTGGTAGCTCTGCAGCCTTTCTTCCCTAGGATCACATTTCCCCTCTTCCTTCCTCATGAACTACTCTCCTGGGGTCAGGCAGCTCACATCCTGGGGACCTTTGCTTTCCTTCTACCTCCTGATAGTACAGGGCTCGCCTACATGCCAGAATCGTTGCTCCTTCAAGATACGTGCAATCCTATCTGGGAGAGGCACAGTCTAGTTTGCCCTCCTGTATGCCTTCACATGCCTATTCAGCAGCCAGTAGTACATGGTTAGCACACAATCAGATCTGTAGGGTCATAAACATCCACAGTCAGATAGTATGATTTAACTGGAACACAACTTTATGTACAGAGGCCAAAAGAGTAAGCCACAAAGGCAAGACGGTCAGTGTCTCACTCTGATTCAACAAAGGTGAGTCCTCTCTTCGTGGCACAACATGCCCTAAACTTTGCCACAACATCACAGTCCTTGGGACAGCCAAACAGTGAGGCAACATGCTAATTGCAAATAATCTTTGATCTCTGACTTGTTTCTTTCTAAACACGATAAATGCTTTGAAGTAAAAGCCTTCTCTCTGGGGATACTCCACCACCCCAGGTGGTAAGACCTTTAAACATCTCCTATATTCTACTGAGACCTGTGTATTTTGTTCTGAGCTCTGAACAAATCATGTTTCGCTTTCCCAGGATCCACTTAGACTACCCGTTGTAAGCCTTTCACTTGAGCCAAGCACACCTACCTGGAGCCAGTCTGCTTATGTTTTGTCTCTTCACTATCCTTACATCTCTGGCCTCCAGGATCTCCTTATAGCTGTTTACTTCAGACCCAACACATATGACTGCAGTCTGTGAATTGCTTTCTCCCACCAAGACTGTCTCTTGCTCAGACAGAGGAGTGACACCTTGCGCTATTAGAAGAGGGAGAAAGTTGCGGATCTATCTTCCTGTTAGAAGATCTAGAACTTTAACCAGGACGATAAAGGCAGTGTCTCCTACCAGGATCTATAAGGGCTAAAGAACAATTGCATCAGATTTGAGCTGCTAGTGCCTGCATCAAGTGCCCCAGTCAAGAGCAGGCTTCATAGAACACAGTTGTGTTCTCCACAAAGCATCCCAAACACCACCGTTCTTCTGACGATTAATGTCAGTTGTATTAAGCTGAGTTCCACAGGACAAAATGCCCAAGATACAGTTTTCCAAAATACTGTGTACAAAGAGATAAGTCAGAAGAGAATGCCAAGGACAGACAAATTCAAGACTGGGAGACTTAGGAGAGAGAAGTTTAAAAAGAGAGCACTTGAAACTACCCCAGCATGCTCACTGAGCTCAGCACGTACCTACAGAAGGTTCCTTTCCCGAGAGAACACAGGCAGGGAGTGGCCCCACTCATATACACACCTGGGATAAGGGCTTTTTCTGAAGGCAGTTTATCCCACCAATAAAAACCATGTTGGGCATAATGGGCCTGGGATAATCTCTCACAAAGTCATTTCTCATCAGCCAGATAGATCCGTAGCTCAGAAGGTCCTTGACTGTCACCTCTTTGTGTAAGATTTCCGTGGCAAGAGATGCATAAGGAGAGTAGACCACATTGCATAGTAAGTTCTCTGTCAAAGCAATGAGCATGTTCTTCACTCGCTGCAGGAAGTTCATGCGATCTGAGTTTACAGACATACTCTTGGGCACGTAGGACAGTGGAACTGGGCACTGGGTAGCTTCCAAATCCAGGCCACATGGCAATGCATTCAAGAAGAATACAGAAGGCAGATCCAGGAGCTGGGCCACGATGGAGCCGCAAGGAAGGAAAGGGTCTGTTAGCAGAGCGTCAAAGTGGCTTTCTTCCAGAGAGGCCAGGAACTCAGTGTTGTGCAGTAGGTGCGAGCAGCCAGACAGGAGCATAGTGGAGTCCCTTTTGACTTTCTTGTATGTTTTGACCAAACGTAGCAGGAAAGGCTCTTGCTCGAAGACACTAAGCCCAAGATCTGTGAAAGAAGCTGTCAAGTTTTCCTCTTTGAATGGCACAGGGAACTTCTTTAAAGTGTAAAATGATCCTTCTTTTATGTGTACCGAGGCCTCGGGTGCTATGACCACTATCTCGTGTCCCTTCTGCTGGAGTTGCTCAGTGACTCCCAGCATGCTGAGCCAGTGGCTGCCATCTATAGGGAATAATAACAGCTTCCCAGCATGGGACACAGAGGGACCAAACATGCACAACAGAAAGGCCGAGAGAAGCAGAGGCAAATGTGAGCTCCAGCACAGCACAGTCATGGTAATCCTCTCCCTCTGGTGTTGCCAGAAGTCTGCTCAGGCCTGCTCATGACTCATGCAAAAAACCTGTGCAACTAGTTAATGTTTGACTGTGTCCCATGACTAAAGCTGTCGGTCAACTCATAAAGACCACAGAACATTTCCTTTTCAAGAGAAGAGGGTGGTGCTTTACTGGGCTCCTTAATAAGTAACAGCTGTTGAAATGACTGCAGTGCCTTCCTCAAATCACATCTTTGAGTGACTATAGTGAGCAAATCATCTCTGGTCATTTTGGATTCATTAAATTAGTACTTTCATATGTCAGAAAGGGTTATTACCATGAAGTTCCAAAGCAGGATGCCTTCCCAAGAAGAAAACTGGAAGTTACTCAGAAAATCTTTGGGAAAGTAAGGAATGGAAAAGTGCTGAAACTCCATTCTTGTCCGTGAAAGCCCCAAGAATGTCCTCCATCATCCACTCGGGGCTCCTCTTAACCACTTCCATCACTTTTGTCTGTCTGTGTGTGGTATATAGTCCAGAGGGTAAACTTGGGTGTTATCTCTCAAAGGCCATATATTTTGTGTTTATGTAGGCTCTTTCACTGGATTAGACTCTACCAATTATGCTAAACTGGGAAGCCATTGAGCCAAGGAAGGTTCATTTCTCTAGCTCCCCAGCATTGGGATTACAAGCATGCCCCACCATCTCCAGAATTTTCATGTGGCTTCTAGGGCCTGAACTCAGGTCCTTATGCTTGCTTGTAGAGCACTTTACTAACTGGGCTAGCTCCTTGATCTCTGTCACTGTTTGTTACTTTATACTTAATGAATCTAGTACAGTACTAAGTCTTGAGACTGCAGCTAAGACCAGCACAGATGAGTGCCCTGCCTTTTCAGGACTCAGACTCTATCAAGAGAGACAGACCCACAGCTCAGGTTAATAAACGAGGCCTCTTGGGAGTGCAAATGAATGGAACCAGGCTGGAGCAGAAAATGACAAGACAAAGTCACATGAGTCTGTGGGCAGAAGTCCTCTCCAAGAGCAGAACTACACCCCTCAGAGAAACAGTGAGAAAATATATTCCAAACAAAATTAAAATAGATAAGCCAGTTAGACAATTGTACTCATCACACTGGCCCAATATCATGGGGGAAATTCTGATGACTGAGTTGAAGGCAACAAAGTCAGGTGTGTACTATGTGTCAAGTGTTGTCAAGCTAAACGTTCTGCAACACCTTATCCCATAGAGCTGTCCCATAAAAGCAGAAGGTATTTCCTTCATTTTACAAACATACTGAGGTCAACAGAAGCAAAGACATTTGCCAGAGTCCTTGGCAGAGCTAAGACATAGGCCCTAGTTAGAAGTTGAATGGAAAACTGTGACCCTCAGGCCATCACCCCGCCATGATGAATGGAAAAAAGACAAAAGGGAGGACTTTGTGTATTCAAACAGCACTATCTGGGGCCCTCGGAGACTAAGGGAAGAGCTGTTGAACAGAAATGCCTCCTGGAGTGGGTAACCAGAGTGTGGGCAGAACCTAGTCTTGTACCCTTTCTGGGGAGTCACTGATGTCCAATACAGTCCAAGGAAGAAAGCACAAATACCAATATTGACCACAGTACTGGTCCTGCCTGCATGGGGCTTTGCTGGGAACAACAAGGGAAAACAACTTAAAGCTTTGGTGTTCTAGGGAGTACAGGTGGCAGGACCCTTCTCTTTCAGGCACTTAAAGTCCCATTTTCCTGGGCCTTCACCCTTCCCCAGCACAATCCCAGTTTTGCAAGGACACACACACACACACACACACACACACACGCACACACACACACACACCCTACAACTAGTGAACACTTGCACTCTGGACTTCTTCCTCTGAACTCAATCACTCTTAATCCTCAGAAAGCAGAAAAGATGTAGCAATGCCTTTGTTTTTGCTGTGTATTTTACTGAAATTCCAAAGCTCACAATACAAGTTAAACTTTAGGATCAGTAATCCTTGGAAGCCCCATTTCGTGAGAACTCACCTGCAGCTTATATAGAGCAAAGATCCCATAAACATGACAATGCTTTTATGACTCAGTTCCTGTTATTACTCAGAACTTTAAGCCTTTTCGTTTAAATGGTGCCAGAGATAGAACCCAGGCCACATGCAAAGTTTCAGAGTTTCTTGCAGCCATTGTAGACCTGAATGGTTAGGGCCCCAACCCTACCCTAGGTCAGGGAATACTGTTCACTGATCTAAATACAAGGCAATCTACATTTCTTATGACCATCGAGGAGAATCACTTCAAAGCAATCCAATGATAGGTCTGCCCTGGAACATGCAAGGCCAATCCCTTCCTTCACCAACATTCATGGAACATGTGAATTCTACTGTACTGGCTTCTATGCTAGGTGCCATAACCAAAACTCAAAAAACCAATGGTCAGTACCTGTAAGGAGGGATCCAGGGGTCACAGAAGAACCAAACAAGTACAGGGCATAGCAAGATATGCTCTGCTGGCTGAGAAAACAGAACAGAGCAGCAATGTGGTCCTGCTCTGGAGGTCCTTGAAGAATGTGATATCTTTGAAAAGTCCCATTTTTTCAAATGGAATTTCTTTTTAAACTGAAACGATGTTACTGTTCCCACCTGTGGAACACCCATCTCCTTTGAGGGGCTACGAATGGAGATTCACACTCAACATAGCACATACGCTTGCCATTCCCCTGTGGATGAGCCAAGGACCCTCAGTTTTCTTCAAATCCCTGCAGCATGCTTCACTGTCCTGCCTTTCATCACCCAGAGGCTCACATAGCTGTCTAGACAAAGTATAAACAGATACATTTCTCATAGGCAGGCTTCCAGCTTTACAGTCACTATCTCAACACAGCTATGCATTCAGTAACTGCCTTCATACAGACTTCATCCACCCTTACTACAGGCCCAATACTTAAGCCAAGTGCTTAGTCTCTCAGGCCCAGCTGCCATGGTCCTATTTCCCCTAGGCTGTGCTTCCAACTCACTATATCAGTTTGTACCCATCTTAACCCAAACCATCACTATTTCTGGTGCCTTGGTCAACAGCTCCATCAGGCCCACAAGAAAACTCAAGCCCTTTAGCCTTGCCCTTCCTTAGACCTTGCATCACATTTTGAAGATTATTTCCCCTCTCTAGCTCTTCCGGTTAGTTAATCCACTTGCACTTTCCTCCTAATTAGGTTTCTATCACTGTTTCGTGTTTACCAATTTCCAGGCCTAGGGTTCAAGTTCAGGTCACTGGGTGTGACCTAAACTCCAATGACTGTTCTGGTGCACTAGTACTCTTGGTTAGGCCTAGTGCCCTTCATGATATAATCTTTAAAAGTTCACTGGTTAACCATTTCCCTTAGAACCAAGTAATCTTTATAGATGTGTGTTGCCTCATAACTGATCAAGTCAGGTAACATAGTGTTCAAAAAATAAAACACAAGGAAGGGGAGATAACACAAGTGTCAAACAAGGGCAGAAGGAAACCCATAGTCATGATACAACAGTCAGTGGAGACCAGAACCTCTCGATAGTCTTCCTCAAAAACAGCCCACTAGCTCCCATTGTTTTGTTCAGGACAACAATGGCTCTCCAAGTATTACGTAGGGAACCCTGAGGATCTTACAAGGGAGCTTTACACAGTCAAAACTACTTCGATCCATGGTGATACTGTTTAAAAAAATCTCATTTTCTCTTAAGCATATGGTGGCATTTTCTAAAGGTTACTCCATGTGTGAAATCACAGATTGAATTCAGAAGTGAGAGAATCCAGTTCTATGGAGTCCAATGCTGGAGTGATTTAAAGAATGCAAGCATACCCTACAATTTTGACCTTTTTAATAAGTTATTATTTCCCCCAAAGGAACATGATTTATGTTAGTGTACAGCTAATAGAAGTGTCCTTCTCGTTGCTTTACTTTCTTATTATCTGACTGGAACTCAGAGCCATATAAATGAAAACAAAGGGTCCTGAAGCCAAAATGTTTGAGGAACCTCAGGCCTTCACAAACCACTGTCCTTCAGAGTCAGACAAAAGCCACTCCTGTCGACGTTCCCATCCTCTTACCTGGCTGAAGGGAAGCTGTCTTGGAGCAGGGCACAAAAATACCCATTTTTAAAAGCCAGCTTTCTGAAGCACCCTTGTAAATCCACAATGTAGGATGTGGAGACAGCAAAACATTCCTATAAATTCAAGGCTACCTTGATCTATCTACATAGCAGAGAAGAGAAGAAAGAGCAGCAGCGGGAGAAGAGGAGAAAAGGGAGAGGTAGAGAGGAGAAGAAAAGGAAGAAGGGGTCTAGCGTTCTTGTTCGGGATGCCACTGGGAATGTTAGCGATACCATTACAACAGAGGAGGAAAAGAAGGAGGAAGGAAGAAGGAGGAGATAGAGGGAAAGGGGGAAGAGTAGAAATTAAAGGGAGAAGAGGAGGAATCACAGCCTCTCCCCTAAGTTGTCCTTTTTTTTTCCACACCAGACCAACAAACCAACCAGCAGGCCAAGGCCGCTGGACTCCGCCCCATCTCTAACCCTAAGCATCACTGAGAAGAACCAACCCCTGGGGCCCTCCATTCTGATAGGCTGGGGCGTCGCCAGCCTCCGCCAATGAGAGGCGTGTACGTCACAAGGGCGCAAAGCGCCGGCCGGTAGGCGGGCGTTCAGCAGCCACCAGCCGCGCTGCAGCGCCGAGGCCGCGGGCCGGCCAGCCGCCATGGTGGACTACTACGAGGTGCTGGGCGTGCCGCGGCAGGCCTCGGCTGAGGCCATCCGCAAGGCGTACCGCAAGCTGGCCCTCAAGTGGCACCCGGACAAGAACCCCGAGCACAAGGAGGAGGCAGAGAGACGGTTCAAGCAGGTGGCGCAGGCCTACGAGGTCCTATCTGACGCCCGCAAGCGCGAGGTGTACGACCGCTGCGGCGAGGTGGGCGAGGTGGGCGGCGGCGGCGCGGCCGGCAGCCCGTTCCAGGACGCCTTCCAGTATGTCTTCTCCTTCCGAGACCCCGCCGAGGTCTTCAGGGAATTCTTCGGGGGCCGCGACCCCTTCTCGTTCGACTTCTTCGGAGACCCGTTTGAGAACTTCTTTGGGGATCGGAGGAGCTCCCGGGGAAGCAGAAGCCGAGGGGCCGTACCCTTCTCTGCCTCCTTCACTGACTTCCCAACTTTTGGGGGCGGCTTTGCTTCCTTAGATACCGGATTCACATCCTTCGGGTCTCCGGGAAACTCAGGCCTTTCTTCTTTCTCCATGTCCTGTGGTGGTGGGGCGGCAGGCAACTACAAGTCGGTGTCAACCTCCACCGAAATAATCAATGGCAAAAAAATCACCACCAAGAGAATCGTTGAGAATGGTCAAGAAAGGGTGGAAGTGGAAGAAGATGGAGAGTTAAAGTCCCTGATAATTAATGGCAAAGAGCAGTTGCTTCGCATCGATACTCAGTAAAGACATAAAGGGCGTTTTAAGGACTATCAGGACGGTTTTCTTTTTTTTTGTTTGTTTAAAAGCGTTTTCAAGGGAACTCTACTTTCAGAACAACTGTATTCAAGACATTATATACAGCTCATGCCAGTGCCTCTTATTGTTGGGACTGCAGGGATAGGATCTCTCTTGGTCTTTATGCCTGTTGTAACTATCTGTATGCCTTTGGCACTCATTAAACTTAATCCTGAGGCAGACCACCGTTATGTCCTAATGGTAGGAAACACTGTTCACAGCACCTAAAACTGTGCAATGTCCCATTTTGTCTATAATGCCACCTTGAGAGCATTCTGTGAAGTGCACCCATATAGCTCCACTTCCCCACCCTGACACTGTGGTGAAAGATGTGCCTATATTGACTGTTTAGTTTAAAATAAGTTGGAAAAGCAGCTTTTAGTTTACCTAAAATAACGGTGATATAGGAACAGTTGGCCAGTGTTTAAATTGAAAGGTTAAAACTAAGCTTTTAAAAGCAGTTAAATTGAAGGACGTACACTAGGTTCTGGTCACTGCTACAATGAATTACCATGAACTTGGCAATGTATATCATATTTGCTCTTCCCAAAGTTTTGTAGAAGTCTGAAATCTAAGTCAACGGGCAAAAATGCAGGTTGCCAAGACCATGCTCTCTGAAGGTTTAGGGGTGTGTTTATCAGTCAGGGTCTCAAGATGGGGCTGGTTAGTGCTCAGCCCTAAATTTGTTCTACAAATAGTAGAAGATGCTGGAAGTGAAAAGAAGTGCCCTTTAGAGGATAAGCTTTTCAGTTGCCATATATAATATATATGTAAATATGTATATAACAATAGATTCCATTCTGTTAGCACAGTTGGGTGCTTCATCTTCAGACCTTGCAGAAAATCGTTGTCTTTAGAGAGTACACCATAGAATATTCTACCTCACTCCAATGTCATCAGTGAAGACTTCATAAGATACGGAAGCAAAAGGGATTTAAATTGCCACGCTTAGTAATTCTCTGCCAAGAGGTCATAAAACCTAATCACATTATTATAAAGTAAGACTATATAAATATGTTGGATACTCACTAACCTGAAAGTGTAACTTCATGCAGTGACATATGTACAATACATAGCAGAAATTCGAGAATCAACACTGTTCACGGGTCACACAGAACCTTGAGAAATCACATCAATGAAATAGTCATTGCAGATCCCAGTGATAGCTGCTTTCTAACAATAACAAGTTCCTAAATCAGATCAGTTACCAGACTGGGAAAGAAATGTTTTCTTCAGCCCAGGGAGCTAATGAAGACAGTCACTGAGGGCTGGGAGAAGACCCAGGGCTTTCAGTGCCTACTAGACAAACATCCCCAGAAACCCAACATAACCATCTGGTATATGTGGTAGTCCTCAGAAGGCAGAAACACAAAATGTCCAGAGCAAGCTGGCAGGCAAGATGAGTCATGTTGGCAAGCTCTGACTTTTCTTTTTCTCTCTTTGGAGAGACCCTGGATAAGGTGGACAAGTAATCAAAGATAACTCCTGATATCTGCCTTGGGCCTCCGCATGCACACACACATGCAAAATACGCAGACACATGTACGCCACACACAGAAACAAGGGGGAACATGACTGTAGAATGTTGGTGTGGGTTTGTGTCTGAACTTGTAGGAGATATCAGGGATTTGGGGATAATGAGCATACAGTTCTGTGATGGTAAATGTGGAAATCACCACCCTGGGTAAGACAGATGGGTAGCAGGTCTGAAACCGCACAGTGGGAAAGAAAGTCTTCAGCAGAAAGTAGGAAGGCAGAGTCTGCCATAGTGAGGCCACTCAGAGGGCACAGATCTTCAGCTCTGGCTAGTTTCAACAGCTGAGAGGAAACAGAAAAATCAGTGTTCATATGTTCTGAACTAATGGTGCTGTAAATGGAAAGTTCCTAGCTGGATTGGAGCTCATTATATCGGCCAGGCTGGCCTTGAATTCACATAAATCTACTCTGCTACCCAAATGCAGGAATTCACAGCATATGCCACCAGGCCAAACTATAAATTAATGAATTGACAAGCTTAAAAGCCTCGTCAGAAATTGCTTAGTTTAAAACACTTCTGCAGACATGCCTGTGGAAGGTCATCTTTTTAGGAAAGGTTTGTCATGGTGGTCACACGGCATTTCCTGTGCAAAGAGGAGCCTCCTGAATCCACCCGTGGATCTGGTCTGTAGGAGTACATCCCTGCACAAACCTGACAAGTTGACTTTGATGCTTGGGAACTATGGTGGAAGAAGAGAAGCAGCAACCGGAAGCTAAAACTGTCCTTGACCCCCACATGAGCACCTTGGAGTACCTGCACCCCAGTCATACACACATGTACATCTCACCTAGTTTTCTTCAAGCATTCAGATCCACTACAGGGGATCCCCTCATTGAACCACTGGGAGAATTTTCTAGGCTGCACCAGGCAAGGAAGAGCAACACACTGTAAGACCCAGAAGACTAGGAGGCCCTGTTCCACCTAAAACAGGATCAGCCAGTCATAGTGGCTGGAGGTTCACACACAGCTGAAAGAATTCGGAAGAAACTATACTGTCTTCAAGTAACCACCTTCCCTTTGATTGTACACTGCAGCCTCCAAACTGGAAGAAAGATATCTTCTCCATTTTAGAAAGTCATTCATTTATATCAGCGTATGTTTCCAGAATTTCCAGTTCCACATTGTCATCAGTTGTTTCTTCTCTCCCCTACTCACTCTCATCTTCCACATTCCTTCTTTCTCCTAGCCCCTCTTCTCTCCCCCTCCCTTCTACTTCTCCCTTCCCTGTTTCCCAGTTCAAGGTCTCATTATGTAGCCAAGGATGGACTTGGACTCATAATGCTGCCTCAGCTTCCTAAGTGCTAGGATTACAGACCTGATATCCTAAACCCAGATCACAGATTTTCTCACTAAATACAGATTCATTCAACTTCCTTACATCTCCATTAAACCATTTAGTGTAGTGTAGTTTCAATTACTGTCAGAGAAGCTGACTAAACTTGTGAAGTAGCCAATGGCCTCAGGACTAAATATACAACTTGTTCTCCACCTCTACACTATAATAATGTAAAAAGTTTTGTTGTGGTAGATATCTCTAGACAACTTTTCTTTTAACTTTCTCCATACAAAATTTGAAATAGACAATTTAGTTATATCATGGAAGATCTACAGTCATACAGTAGCTGCTCACTTACACATGCACTATTGAGCATTTGACACATGGCCTGGTCCAATTGAACCTATAAACTACTCACTAGCTTGCTTTCATGTCTGTCGAGTACTCAAGTGTCCTATGAACACACCACACACCCATTTCATCACTGAGAGCATCAACAACTGCCATTTGATATTTCCTTTAACCTTCAAAAAGATCTGAAAGCTGCAGCTCAATGTCTCAGCTCCTGTGCAGACTCAGGATAATCACCAGCAGAAAAACCATGACTAGATACATGGGCAGTCCCAACAGAGTCCCACTACAGCCCCTCAGTCCCATTGCCTTCACCTTAACCTTTTGTCCTGATACTGGCCTCTGAAAATCTGAAGTATAGCACTGTGGGCACCTTAGTAGGTGAATTTAACCAAAGCCTCTTAGGAAAAGAGATAGATAACTGAAGAGATTAATAAGCACTTGAAAGTAAAAAAAAATTAAATTATTTTTCCTGGAAAATTCTTGAGATAAAGACAGAATACAGACCTGATGGAGTGGCTTCCTGTTGGCACAGTTTATGCCCCCAATGAAGACCATGTTAGGCATGATGGGCCTGGGGTAGTCAAACACAAAGTCCCCTCGGAATAGCCACACAGATGCATGGCTGAGAATCTCCACCAAGGACACCTCTCTCTGCAAAAGCTCAGAGGCAAGCCTTTCATAGGGAGTGAATGAGATATGGCAAATGTACTTCAAGGTGAGAGGGTACAACATGTTCTTGACCCTTTGCAGGAAACTCATGTGGTCCGAATGTGTTGTGAGTAGCTTTGGAACATATGAAGAAGGGTTTGGGCACTGTGTGGCCTCAGAGTCTATGTCACAGGGAATGGAGCGCAGAAAAAACACAGCAGGGATCTGTAGGTACTTGGCCAGCACTGCCCCACAGGGAAATATGGGGTCTGTTAAGATCACATCGAAGAAACTGGAATTCAGTTGCTGAATCAGGGTCTTATTGTGCAGAAGATCTACACAAGAACTTGCATAGAGTTCTGAAAAATTTCTTAAAGCTGCTATATTTTCAAAAAACACCTCCACAGAACCTTGTATTTCAAAGGACTTCTTAGCATTTCCCAGTATTTTTTGTTGATATTCTTCCTCGGTGTACGGAAAGGGATAGGTTTTGAGGGTGAAGAAGTCCTCTCCTTTGATGTGCAGAGTTACATCTGGACCCAGGACCACAATCTGGTGGCCTCGGGCATGGAGCTCCCTGGAGAAATCTCTCATGCTCAGCCAGTGACTGCCCTCCATTGGAAACACCAGCACCTTAGCACCTTCAGCCCACGCCAGGACACACAGCAGAAGCAGCAACCCTGAGCGTCCCGCATCCATCTCCCCAGAGGCCCACAGCAGTGAACTGTCCATAGCCGGTGCCTCCTTTGTAAGTTTATTCCTTTTCTTATCACCAGGTCACCTATCATCCTGCATACCATTGGGTAGTATAGTGCCCTTGAGTTAATAATTACAAAATAAATCTCCCCCTGCCTTGAACTAATGTCCTCCCCTTCAGCCTGCCTCCACCCAAAGAAACGTTAAACTTTGCTTTTCTTGCCTAATAAGAACTCCTGTGACATACTTCTCTTTTCCTAGGGGCACACTGGTTCACCTCTTGTTTTCTTCCAATTCCCCAAGCAAGGCACTGGACACCCTTTTCTTTCACCACCTAGACTGTTAGTAAATTGCCACTGAGCTCGAGGAGTGTCCTCATCCCCCAAAACCTTTCTGCTGGGTGGAATGCAGAGGTGGAATGCAGAACACGCCAAGGAGCTTGTTTAGTAGAAAGGGCACCATCCCCAGGGCTCTGTGCAAGCAGCCTTTGGATTTCACCTTCTCATGGAGGGTAGGAATCCAAACAATGTTCTGCTTTCTTTTTCTGCACCTGTCACTTCTCTATGTCTTACCTCACATCAAATCCCATTGCCTCCGTTCTATGGCTGTCTTGCAGAATAACCCAAGTGCAGGCTGTAGCCTCTCTTGTCCATGCCATGCCATAGAAGG